ATTTTTCCATTTGCCACATCCCATGGTTATCTTTTTCTCACTGGTTTCTAAGAATTCTTTGTATATTAAGTTACAGATCTTGCCAAATGACTCCACAGAGCTGACATGAGGAACAACTTTTCTATTTGGGAAGATTGTAAGGCTACCTACCTCTGTGCACATAGCCTCCTAACAAGCTCCTATAAGTCCCTGCCCTTTTTGTTCCTTCAAACTCCCACCAGCCTCCCACTGAAGAGGGCCAACAAAAGGGGAATGGGATGATTTGTGCCAACAGAATCTCCACCTGGACTCTCTCCTTGGAGGGACTGAGTGGGGCATCAGTCACATTAACATTCAAATCAGTGCTGGTGTTTGAAGTGCACGTTGAGAGCTTTAAGAATTGGGTATCACTTTATTCACTCTCAGTGCTGGGGCCTCTGGAATTATCTGAATAAACAGATCACTGCCATCAGCCTAAGTCAGATATCATTTGACTACTTCCTGCCTTCAGCTTCAGTGGGTAGTAAAGGGCTGTGAAAAGTCACTAATGGCAGCAAGCAAGGTCTGTGTGGGCTGTGGCTGAAAATCAAGGCAACATAGCTTAGGATACTATGCATGTTACAAATAAGTTTTTCACCAATTGCTGTTTGCCTTTTAATTTAAATGGTCTTTTAATGATGGGGTGCCGGGTGGCTCAGTCAGTTAAGCATCCGACTTCGGCTCAGGTCATGATGTCACAGCTTGTGAGTTCGAGCCCCGTGTCAGGCTCTGTGCTGGAGCCTGTTTCAGAATCTGTGTCTCCCTCTCTCTCTGCCTCTCCCCAGTTCGCGCTCTGTCTCTCTCTCCCCCTCAAAAATAAATAAATGTTAAAAAAATTTTTAAATGTTTTAATGAAAATTTAACTTTATGATGTTTGACAGAAACTTTACATTGCATTTAATCAAAACTTTCAATTTTTAGCTTTGGATATCTTCCATTTCTTTCAGGTTTAAGTTAATTCTTTTCATGCCAATTTTTTAAGAAGTTGACTTTTTACAGTTAACCCCTTGATCCACCTGAAATATATTTTGAGGTATGATATCAGGAAAGAATAACAGTGATTCCCCACCCCTCCCCTCCCCCCCCCGCGCCAAATAGCCAATAATCCCAGCATTATTTATCCAAAGATTAAAAAAAAAATACTTTGAAGTAACTTTACACTTCTAAGAAGTTTCTCTTGTATACCCTTAATTCAGTTTCCCTTGCTGGATTCTCCTACTTGATTAATTGGATTTACTTGGACATTTCAAGACTTCCTTATTGTCTGTGAAAGTGTGGTTGTGTCTGTAATTTACAATACTTAAGCTTGAAACACTGATGACAAAAGTCATAAAATAGTGTTAAAGGCTATGTGAGGCTTTCATTACTAGAATGAAATTTGAATTTAACATTAAGTCTGCTGACTTTATCAGGAAATCTTCTATAACTTCAATTTTTTCCTTAGAATCAGCCTATTACAGATACCATACAAGTACATGGACAATGCTCATGACCAGTGTGGTTATTGTTGGAACAATCAACTATCAAGCACTTGCTTCTAGATGTGGGCATTATAGGTAAGAACCTGGGCTTTACTACTGGGACTCAAAACATGCTAATACAATCTTAAATCCTTTGTAAGATGATCTATAGTATAAACATATAAATCAAGTTTGAATGAGCAGAAAGTTAAATAACATAAAATCTAAAATTATGGAAAGATCAAAATAAACTGTCAACTCTGGAAAAATAACTTTCTCAGTTTTAAATAGAAGAAATCATAAAAGAAAAGGAGAGATTTAAATGTAATTATGTTTCTTCACAACGGAAAATTAAAGTAAGCAAAGCAATAGTGAGAGAAATACGACAGATATGACAGATATAAAAAAAATCTTCATGAGAACTCCACTTTTTTATTTTACTTTATTTCATTTTATTAAAAATTTTTTTTAATGTTCACTTATTTTTGAGAGAGAGACAGAGCATGAGTGGGGAAGGGGCAGAAAGGGAGAGATACAGAATCTGAAGTAGTCTCCAGGCTCTGAGGGGTCAGAACAGAGCCCGACGTGGGGCTCGAACTCACAGACTACAAGATCATGACCTGATCTGAAGCTGGGTGCTTAACCAACTGAGCCACCCAGGCGCCCCTTACTTTATTTCATTTGAGAGAGAGCGAGAGTGCTAGCAAGCATGTGGGCAGGGTAGAGGGGCAGATGGAGGTTAGAGAGGGGAAAGAGGGGAGAGAGAGCGAATATCTTAAGTAGGCTCCACATTCAGTTTAGAGCACGATGAGGGGCTCTATCCCATGACCCTGAGATCATGCCCTGAGCTGAAATCAAGAGTCAGATGCTCAACCGAGCCACCCAGGCATGCCCTAGGACTCTGATTTTTAAAAAATAATCTTTGATAGAAATATTGACAAAACATGAAAGAACCAATTTACACAAAAAGAAAATTAAATGTTGAAATGTTCATTCTTGTAAATTATAGTAAAAAGTGTAAAGTAGAAAATGTATTATTTTTTAAACTAATTCCCCATTATGTCATGATTATAGCAGACTTCTGTATTGCTGGTAACATTGTAAAGTGAGTACATACAACACTTAAAAAAAAAAAAAAAAAAAAACAAAAACAGAAAACAAATGGCCATATGTGGGAACAGCCATAAGGATTTCTTTTGGCCAAATAATATTACTCCTTATTGAGGTAGTTATATGCACAGAATTATTCATCGTAGCACTTTTTATGATGAGAACAACTGACATACCTAATCTCTGGGGAACAGTCTCATCATTATGACATAGCATTATACAGTCTTATGTTGCCATTAAAATTATAACAATGAATATGTATAGAATGTTGCACGATTATATAATAAAAATGACTGCAACTCTAAACTATATATATGTGAAAGGTAATCTGAAAATCAACAGAGTCAAAATGTAGGGATTACTGTTGATTTAAAATTTTTCTCGGGGTGCCTGGGTGGCTCGGTTGGTTACATGTCCAACTTCAGCTCAGATCATGATCTCGAGGTTTGTGGGTTTGAACCCCGCATTGGGCTCTGTGCTGACGGCTCAGAGCCTGGAGCCTGCTTCGGATTCTATGTCTCCCTCTCTCTCTCTGCCCCTCCCTTGCTCATGCTCTGTCTCTCTCTAAAATAAACAAACACTAAAAAAAAAATTTTTTTTTAAGTTTTTGTTCAAATTTCTGAAACTTGATATGTTATTTCATTTTTCAAGTTTATTTATTTTGAGAGAAACAGAGACAGCATGAGTGGGGGAGGGGCAGAGCGCAGGAGAGACAGAGAACCCCCAAGCAGGGTCCATACTATCAGCGTGGAGCCCCACACAGGGCTCAAACTCATGAAAGCGTTAAGATCTGAAACCAAGAGTCGGACCAAGAGTCATGAGCTGAAACCAAGAGTCGGACATTCAACTGACTGAGCCACCCAGGTGCCCCTTTTCACATTTAAGTTTTAATTTTTTTCATGTTAAAACAATATGTAAATCCTTGAGATGCTAGGATATATTCCCAGGCCCTCCTCTCTGTATCTGTGCCCAATCAAAAAGGAATCCAACTAGGGACTTGCTGGCCTTCAGACCTATTCAGTGTTCTTAAATAACTGTATTTGGGAATCTGACTTCCTTCATCACCTGACTAGGTATATTCGTAACCCTTATACCATTTTAAAACTGAAGGTGGCTTTGGAGATGAGGTAGTGAAATCCACCTATGCTGCCCCAGCTCTATCTTGAGCGGTCTCTGCTTCCCTCTCTGCTCCACCCACACTGGGTTTCTCTCCTTCGTTACAACACGTTATACTCTCCCCCAGCTCTTGACCTCTGTAGCTCCTCTTTCCTCAAGTGTTCCCTCCTCCCTCAACTCTTATTTATTGTTTGTTTATTTTTCAATAAGGCCAACCCCAAAGTCTTGGATTAGGATAAGACCCTTGGTATATGCTCCAAAGGCACTACTACTTTTTCCAATATATTTTGTATAGTAGTAATTATTTATTTATTGATAATCATGTATAAAGTATGTTTTCCTCCTCTAGATTAGAAGCCCCATGAAGACAGGGATATCTATTTTGTCATGAATCCTCTCCAGTGCCTGATAGGTAAGAAATCCTCACATTTGCTGATGAATCAAGCAAATAAAAAAATTAATAAAATAAAAATCTAAAAATCCTAAGTAAAATATTAGCATATTGAATTTAGTGATATTTTTAAAAAAATACATAACATTTAAGTACGGTTTATTTTAGGAAGTAAAGGGTAGTTTATTATTGGAAAGTTTATTATATAATTCTTACATTAATGTATCAAAGTAGATCAATTATCTCCATAGACGGGAAAAGGAATCAGATAAAATTCAATACATCTCCCAACTAAAAAAAAAAATACCTCTTAGTGAACTAGAAAAAGGATGCTTTAACATGATAAATATTTAAAACTAACATTGTACCTAATAGTAAAACCCTGAAGACAAGGATACCTCTTACCACCATTAGCATGCAACACTATTCTAAAAACATTAGCCAGTGCAGTAAGGCTAGAAACAAGATTCAGAAAATGACAGTTATATGTAGATTATGACTGCCTATCTGAAAAACCTAAGATTAAATGAAAAATTTTAGCAAGCAAATTTAATAAGGTGGCCAGTTACAAAATACATGAACACATATTATAAAAGCAATACATTTAAAACAATGCAGTATTAGCCTAAGAATAGACAGATCAATGGAACAGATTAGAAAGTGTGGGAAGAGATTTAATATTTTTGCCATATAAGAAATTACTAAGAAACTGACCATTGAAGAAGCACGGATTATTTAATTAACTGCATTGGGATATTATAGACAAATAGATTCCAATATGAAATGATGAATTAAAATAATATTTTATAATTTCATAGTGTTTCCTTTTATTTCTTAAGGGAAGATAGTGACTGTTTTCTTTTCCATGGTTTCCATTTGCCCTGACACCCCCATACAGGTCTTACCGGCATTGTGATCTGGATGGGTTGCCGTTCTCCACTCTTGGTTGGGGCCACACCTTCCGTGTCATATGTGCCCGTGTAAACAATTCGGTCACCATCAGGCTCTTTAGACTTCAGCTCCAATGGGACAAGCACACCACCAATGGAAATGTTCCTGCAATGGACAGAGGTTAACTATATATGGTAGGAATTAGCTTAGGTACCCCATCCTGGTCTGGACCACACCCTAGGCAGGAATCCTACTGGGTTTGGCTAAAGGAGACATTCTGGTGTTGTAGAAAGTTCTGAAAAGTCAGGAGTCTTGAGTTCTCCAATTAACCAGTCACGTGACCCTAGACCAACTACTTAAACTCTCTGGACTCACCTCAGTATTCTCATCCAGAACACTTGTACAAGGCTGAGTCAGACTCCATCAGTCCTCCTCTATAGTTTGTCATTTGTGGGGCTATGAAAAACTTACCTATACCCAGCCCCATTCCCGACCCTAGAACTTAGAATTCAACTGGTTGGGTGTGGTCTGGGCACTGGTAAATTTATCTTAAGGTTCTCTAGGTGATTCTAACGTGCAAGTAGGGTTGAGAAACACTGAACTAGTTATTTCATGATTTTTTTCTGTTCCAACAATCAGAGGTCCCATGATTTGGGCTACTCAAAGCCAGCCACAGAATCAGGAATTCTCACTGACATCATTCCTTTGTGTTAAGGTAGTGATTCTCAAGGTATGTTCCTAGACCAGCAGTGTCAGCATCACCTGCCTAAAACAAAATTTTAAGCTCTACCCTTAGACCTAGCAAACTGGAAACTAGGGTGGGACTCAGCCATCTGTGTTTTAATAAACATTTTAGATGATTCTGACAGACACTCAAGTTTAAGAACTACTAGGTTAGGGCAGTAAAAAAAAAAAAGACTTGATAAAATTAAAGTGTAAATAGAAAAAATAGTTGTCATTAACACATTCATTTTAGATTAGTTTAAAAAAAATAGAGAACCACCTTGAAGAAAACATGTTATAGAACAGATAACTTGGGAGAAGAGGTTGCCAGGAAAGATGGGAAAGGAAGTCTGGATCATATGGGGATGCACAGAACTCTGGGAAATGAAAGTAACCAGTGCATGTAGCTGTGGGGGACAGTGACAAGTAGATGGGCCAGAGCACCAGAAACAAACCAGTTTTGTTCTAGGTCCTTGAATTAGGGCCTGATACCTAGAACGCCAATACAAGTTTATTGAATTTAATGACTACAGATGACACTTCAGCTATACAAGGTATCTGGTGGATTCAAAACCCTTCCCCGCCCTGCGAGCTCAGCACATGGTAGATATAGTGTAAGCTGGTTTATTTCCCCTTTCCATATTAAACTTCACACCATGCTTTTAAGTGGAAGCTGAGAGGTAACGGACTCCATCCCTAGATACTTCCCCATAAACTACTGCACCATTCTATACTGAAGAAGTCTACTGGGTGAACCAAATTGTGGTAGCAGGGGAGAGATAATCCCTGCCACAAATAAACCAAGAAACATCCTTTTGTGGCAGGGAGGTTGCTAATCCCAGGCACCATCACCAGGATGAACAAACAAATCAGGAGAAAATGAAAAACACCTGGCAAGGAAAACCGGGAAACTAGGCCCAAGCAGAGGAGGCTGAGCTCGGATTTATGGCTGCTACTCCAGCCCCAAGGTTTCCAGTCACAGGGCTGATGGTGGAGTAGGGTGCATCCCTTAGGGAACCCCAATAATCATCCCATCCCCGCCTTTACACCTCATTCCTCAGCCCTTCTCGCTCCTTAGCTTCGCGGTTGGCTGAATCCGGCGAGTCGACAGGGCTGGGATTGCGGTAGGTGAACCACCCGGAATGCCTCGGGGTCCGCGCCGAGGGCTGGGCAAAAGGGATGAAAAATTTGCAAGAAAACAAACCCTCGGCCCAACCCTGGCTTCCTGACGCTGTTTTAAACATCCCTCCCCGCAATGGGTGGAAGGAAGCGTGAATAGGGAAAGTCAAGCATAAAACAGAGGAGGGGACCAAAAAGAGCAGGGAACTGACCTCTTTCCCCCACCCTTGGGCCCGCTGGGCGCGACGCGAGGCCAGAGGGACTGGGGAGAGGCTCAGGCTGTCCCGGGGGCCTCAGTCCTCCGCGCGGACCCCTAGCGGGGCCGGGCAGCCGCGGTGCGCGCGCTTACTCACTCGACCTGCAGCGTGGTGGGCTTAATCTTCACCTCCACCTTGTAGGAGGAGCCGGTGAGCAGCTTGATGGTGCGGTTCTGGCCGAAGCGCTGCCCGTCCACCTTGAAGAAGACCGGGCCGTCGTTGGGCTGGATGCGCAGCGCGATGGAGAGGCGCACGAGACCCGGCAGGTCCCCCATGGCTGGGTGCGGGACCGGCGCGGAGGCTCCGGGGGGCGGAGGACTGCGCGGGCTGCGACCGAGCGGCTGGAGCGTGGGGGGCGGAGAGGAAGCACGGGGCGGGAGAGGGTGGTGGCGGAGGGGAGGCTGCAGCTAAGAGCCCGCGCCGTCGCGGCCGTTCGCCCTGGGTTTTGAGAAGCAGCTCCTGAGGCCGTGGCCTCCCGCCCCACTCGGCGAGGAAGAGCGCCCGGGAGATAGCTCCGAGGCCCCGAGCTGCCCCATCCCCCGCTCCGGTGCTGCGCCCTCCGCGCACTGATGGGTTCGCTCCAGCCAGCAGGCCCGGGGCAGATCCGCGCAGCTGGGGGCGAGAGAGTTAATCCTGTTTACGCACCACAATCCCCTTCAGCTGGGGAAGAGGACATTTAGGCTCCTCCTAGAGCCACGCGGGGCGGGCGGAGAAGAGGATTGGGAAGGAGGAGGTACTGGGGTGCTGGGGTTAAGCGACACTACACCAAGGACCGAGACCTCGTAATCTGGATACCACTTCGGTCGACTGAGAGCTGTGGACACCATTGCTGGCGAATCGGGGCACCAGCCAGGCAGGAGGAGGCTGAGAGGCGAAAAGGAGACGGGAAGCGGGGCAGGAAACCGCTAGCCAGTGATTTAGATGTCAGGAAATATGAGTCCTTCCAAAGCTTGGGGGAAATGGCCGAGGGAAGGCGCAATTCCATCTAATGTGACCAGCAAACTAAACTGGATTAGAAATGTGTGCAAGAAAAAAAAAAAAAGGAAAAAAAAAGAAAATAACCAATACATATTCAAAGAACTCCACCTTCTTGTAGATGTGTATTTCTATTATGTATATCTTTTTCTCAAGGATGACACGGTGTAATGAGTCGCGTATATTTACATAAATCTTGAAAATGAGCTAATAACCCTTGTGACAATGGCCAAGAGGAGGAATTGGTCACAAGATTATTGGCAGGGCACCCCTTGCGACAAGGCAGAATTTAGATTTCCTATTGAGCGAGATTGGAGCGTCTCCACGGGAGAAGTCGGTTGACAGCTCATGATTTGGGAAGCAAGAGGAGGCCAAGGGTATTAGGGCTGTACTGGAAATGGCTTCGCTAAACGGGAGGAAGCACCTGCTTCAGCACCACCTGGGTGGATAGTACCAGAGCCACTGAGCACACCTGGGGAATGGAGAAGTTGGTTGGTGAGGACGAATGGGAAGGGAGAGGTCTGTGCGGTAGTTTTTGTTCAACCAGGTTAGTATTGCTTTTCTTTAGAAATAACATCATCTCAAAAGTGATTTGTTTCCTACATTAAAGCTACATCAGCTTTAACTCTCATTTCGCAGTTGTTTGCCGTATTCCCTACACTACTCTTGAATAATATTAAATTCTGTCAGGCTGCAGAGTTTTGTGTGATTGTTCACTTCTCGACATTGATAAGTTTGTTGACCACACCGAAGTTGTTGACATTAAATAAAATCCCTTTAAAAACCTGATACATATGTTCCTTACATAAAATGTACTTTGGTTCCCCAATAAGATTTGGGGGCAGGAGCTCTTCTTCAGATCACCCAATAATGTCTACCATAGTGTCTTCTGCAAGGATTAAATATTTGCTAGTTTAACCAAGTTGTTCAGACTTCACTAGAAGGGAGGGAATGAAGCTGGAGGGATTGACTTGAAAATGTTCCTTGGCAGCAGAGGCAGTTTATGTAGTAGTTAAGCCCAGAAACCCTACAGTCAGACTTGTTAAAATCCTCACTCTATCACCTTGCCAGCTGTGTGACCTTGGGCAAATTTCATAACCTCTTGGAAACGGTTTTCTCATTTGCAAAAGGGGTAGAGGAAGAAAACGTTATCTCTCTGATAGGGTTATTGTGATAATCAGATGAGATGAAGCACATTCCAGGGCCTGACTCTAATATTAGCAATTAATATTAAGTGGAAATACAAATGGTCAATAAACATATGTCAGGATGCTTAGTCATTTCTAGTAGAAAAGCCAGGGGAATGCAAACTAGGTCAGTAATATCAAACTTTTTTGTTTGTCTATCAGTTTAAAGACTTAAAATTCAGTGATAGTAAGGAGGAAGGGAAATCAGCGCTGTCATAACCTGGTGGAAGAATATAATTGCTACAACCTTTTATTGGAAGTAATTTAATGAATTTATTAAAAGTTAAACTGTAAATGGGGCTCCTGCCTGGCTCAGGTAGAGCATGCAACTTTCAATCTTGGGGTTGTGAGTTGGAGCTCCACGTTGGGTGTAGAGATTACTTAAAAAATAAATAAAAAATCTAAAAAAATTTGTTAAAGTTAAACCATGTATGTATGTATGCATGTACGTACGTACATTGCTGGGTCAGCAATCCTTTTAAAAACCAATTCTTCAGAAAAAATAAAATCATCATTACATTGGATATATGTAGTTTGGCTGTTAATTGCATCATTGATTGTAAAAATCAAAACAAAGCATAAACTGAATGTCAACCAATAAATAAATTATTATATATCCATGCTATATAATTTGTGCCACTGTTAATATAATAAATTATATGTTGTATTAGCAAACACATATGCTAAAACTGTTATTGATAAAAGTGGGGTCAGTACACAATGGCAAAGTGTGGCAGGCCAAGGGCAAACACTTTTGTTTTGTTCTTTGCTGTAACCTAGAATGCATAGAACAGTGCCTGGCACATAGTAGGGGCTCTGTAAATATTTGTTGCATTGAATTTCTGTCCTTGTTTTATTTTTATTTTTTTTTTTAATTTTTTTTCAACGTTTATTTATTTTTGGGACAGAGAGAGACAGAGCATGAACGGGGGAGGGGCAGAGAGAGAGGGAGACACAGAATTGGAAACAGGCTCCAGGCTCTGAGCCATCAGCCCAGAGCCTGACGCGGGGCTCGAACTCACAGACCGCGAGATCGTGACCTGGCTGAAGTCGGACGCTTAACCAACTGCGCCACCCAGGCGCCCCTTTCTGTCCTTGTTTTAAACATGTTCTTATGTAAATTCTCCCATATCTTGAAAAGTAGTTAGGCCCATATGATTTATCTGAAGTAATGTAAACTGAAAAAAAAAAATCTAATTGCAAGTAATATCTATAGGATGATAGTATTACAAAACACTAAAAAAAAAAAAAATTGAAACCATATAAATGTGTATCTGTTTTTATTAGTCCTTTAAAAAAGAGTTAGAAGGTACACAACAAGCGTAATGTTGGTTACTCTGGTGGATAGGGACTGGAAAGAGGGTGATACTCTTTTGGAATTATTTTAAAGTCATTTTGGAAATTTTAGTTTTCCTCCACTTTTTGTTCAGCAATGCCACAGTCTCAAGTCAACTTCTACCTGTGTGTTGAAAAGAGTATTGGATGTGGAGTAAGATGACTCCAGTTTGAATGCTGGCTCAGCCACTAATTAGTGGCTTTATGCAAAGCGCTTAAGATCTTTGCATTTCAATTGTCATTATGTGTAAAATGGAAATTAAAATATGTCCTTCCCAACACTATGAGAATTAAATGAGAAAATGGAAAACGTGAAAAAAATAAATTACTTTTCAAATATGAGGTGTTACAGATGCTGGGCAAAATGCATTAGGAGTAACATTTTCAGAATGATAAAATGCAACTTCTTAAAAGGAATTAGTAAATGTAAAAGTAACTGGAAATTTTCTTATTTTTAACACAAATGTGCAAAGAGTATGAGAATAGAGTCTAATGGATCTGTGTTTATATCCCAGCTCTGCTGATTATGTGCTAGTGACCTTGAACAAGCCAAGCTACTTAACCTCTCAGAACCCTAGGTTTTTCATTTGTTCAATGATAATGGTAACATATATGATGCTCATAGAACCCAATGAGGTTATATAAAACAAGCAAGAGTATCAGCTACATATAGATAGTTAATAAATTGTAGCTATTTTTATTTGAAAAAAATATTTTTTTCATGTTTATTTTTGAGAGAGAGAGAGAGACAGAGCACAAGCAGGAAGGGACAGAGAGAGGGAGACACAGAATCTGAAGCAGGCTCCAGGCTCTGAGCTGTCAGCACAGAGCCCGTCGCAGGGCTTGAACTCACAAACCGCAAGATCATGACCTGAGCCTAAGTCAGATGCTTAACCAACTGAGCCATTCAGGCACCCCCCCCCCCCCCGGCAAATATTTTTAAGGTCTCTGGTGTTATTATCTCAAATTGATGACTTTAAATTTTGTCTATCAACAGGGCAACCATTATTATATTCTTTTGGAAATTGGTAAATTTAGCCCGAGTGAATGGTGGGCTTGACAGAGGAACCAGGCTAGCAACTTTCCATATTCACTGTTTCAGTCTCTGTGTTAAATTCATAATAGGCTTCAAAAAGCAATCAGCATTATGACATAAGACATAGCTCTGTGTGTGTGTGTGTGTGTGTGTGTGTGTGTATACATATACATATACAGATACATATACATATACATATACATATACATAAAATCCAATCCCAGCATGCTTAGCTACTTTCTTTTTCATTCAATCTATGTTCAGTTTTTAACACCTTCAGGAGCTCTTTCTTCCTTCCTTTTTTTAAAAAACATTAGTATCAGTAATTTATGATGTGCCAGACTCCTCTCTCCTGCTCAGACTGACTCAGTGGCAGAGATTTTAACTAGTTTACTGTCTATTAAGACTCCCTCTCTGAGTTTCATTTGCTAGACTTGAAGGCAAAGCCATTCTCCCAGACCATTTCTGAAGAATGCAGGTCCTACTTTATGCCCAAAGGATTTTGTAGCCATGGTGATGAGCAACAGGCCTACTATTTGTCTGCTAGACTCTTGGGGGAATCTGGTTACCTTCTCATGCAGTTAGTGTGCAGACTCTGGCTCAGTGATGGTGATCCTAATATCAGTTCTTGCTTGCATTTGTTCTGGATCAATTTAGCATAAGAATTGACATCCAAATAAAACTTTTGTTAATTCCTGCCATGGGTGTAATCTGAAGAACAGTACTCACTTTTTGTTCACAAAATAAATATTCAATTAAAATTAGATTTCATAGAGATACGAACCTTTTAAAAACAATTGTGATTAAAATATGCATAATATAGGGGCACCTGGGTGGCTCAGTTGGTTGGGTGTCCGACTTCGGCTCAGGTCATGATCTCACTGCTCGTGGGTTCGAGCCCAGTGTCCAGCTCTGTGCTGACAGCTCGGAGCCTGGAGCCTGGAGCCTGGAGCCTGCTTCGGATTCTGTGTCTCCCCCTCTCTCTGCCCCTCCCATGCTCATGCTCTGTCTCTCTCTGTCTCTCAATAATGAATAAATGGTAAAAAAGTTTAAAACATATGCATAATATAAAATTGACCATTTTAACCAGTTTTAAGAGTGTACACTTCTGTGGTATTAAGTACATTCATCATTGTGGAACCGTCACCAACATTCATCTCCAGAATGGTTTCATTGTCCCCAACTCAAACTCTGCCTAGGTGAGACACTAAGTTCCCATTCTCCCCTCCCCCCCAAACTCCTGGAATGCTATTTCACTGCATCTCTGCATTCCTTGTTCTGTCTTTGTATTCAGGCCCCTGATCAAATGTTAGCTCACTAGAGAGGTCTAAATTTAGCCCCCATGCCATCCCCCTATTT